GTGTGTGTGTGTGTGTGTGTGTGTGTGTGTGTGTGTGTGTGTGTGTGCGTGCGTGTGCGTGTGCGTGTGCGCGCGTGCGCGTGCGCGTGTGCGTGTGCGTGTGCGCGCGTGTGCGCATGTGCGCGTGTGCGCGTGTGCGTGTGTGCGTGTGTGTGCGCGCGCGCGCGCATTATTAATTAGTAACATTAACTATTAACAGTAACATCGCCGACTCGACAAGTTTTTTACGAACGATCGAATATACCGTGTCAACGGTCTTCTATATATTTAATTATCAACGAACAAATTATTTTTTAGATGTGGCGTAGCAGGCATTATGCCTAACTAATTAATAGTTTGTACTCTTAACGCTTGAAAAGGACCTAAACCCGAGGTCGAAACGTAGCGTGCTATTTAATAAAGTTGGCCAGTTGGGTCGAATAAAATACACCTAAGCTGAAAACTAGTTAACACTTATAAATAAATATTTGGTTAACTGTAGTAAATATCTGCATTGATAATAGTAAATATAATTTTATTTAATTCAAACATTTTCTTCTTTGTACGAAATATTTATTACGTAGCGGAAACCCATTCGACACATCAAAATAAATATTTAGTTGATCGCAGTAAATATTTGCATTGATAGTAGTAAATATATGTCCTTACTTAAAGCAAATATTTCCTTCAATCTACAAAATATTTCTTTTGTAGCCGGCGCCCATTCGACATATTTAACTAAGTATTTAGTTGATTGCAGTAAATATTTGCATTGATAGTAGTAAATATTTCCTTACTTAAAGCAAATATATTTTCCTTCAATTTTCCTATATTTTCTTCAATCTACGATTGAAAAGGACTTAAACCCGAGGTCGAAACGTAGCGTGCTATTTAATAAAGTTGGCCAGTTGGGTCGAATAAAATACACCAAAGCTGAATTTTTTTCATTTACTGGCGAGATAACTCAATTTGCTGTTTTTTTAACTAGTTTTGGTTACAAAAAAAATATTTCGTTGGGAGAAAGAAATGTCTGTAAGAACCAAAGAAAATATTTACTAGTATCAATGTAGATTTATAGCTTTGGTGCGTTTTTAAATAGAACTAGGTTGTAAAGGATATATTTCGTTCAATGGTAGAAAAAATACTTAAAACTTTTTGTGAGACATGTTTATTTCAAAAATCATATTGTTAGAAAATATACTCATTACATATATATTTCATATAAATGTATATTGTATTATACATAGCTTAAAAATTGCCAGATTACATTTTTATATTATATATTGATTTAGTGTATTTTGTATATTAATGACATACGATATATGTAATCACACTCTGTGCAATTAATTCTTAAAGGAAATATCGAGTCTAAATAAAAAAATGCAAATGCAAAAAAAATGAAAGTTATTAAGTTAGGTAATTTTTTGCACTTTCTAAATTACTGGGAATAAAACTATAAAAAATAATGGCCAGCTAGT